ACGCCCTCAGATTCAACTTGGGAATTCTTTTTTTTAAAAAAATAGTTTTTATTAATTTTCAATTACAGCAATCCAATAATAGCCTCATTATAACGATGCCAAATTATAATACAATTAATAATACCAATCATTAAGATGCCAAATTATACAATTTAGGTGACCAACCCCCAACCCCCCCATGTGCTAGAATTAATGGTTTGATGATTTACTTTATTTTTGCCTTCCAAAATCATATAAATTTCCATTATGCTCCAGTCAAAATACCAATCCCTTATATCGCAACTGCAGTTTTAATGACTTCCATTTGTATTAACACATTAAATGATTTATACACCTACAGGTGAAGCATTCAAAGTTAGTAATTACTGGGCTAATGTGGACTAGATCCCACTACAGTATGCCCTGAGTTCCCAGCAGACAAATATTTGACACACGGGCTGCCATCACAGTCATCTTCTGTTGCAAAATGAACACAAGTTTGAAATGCAATTACATAACTAAGGGACACCACAATTAAGGGATCTGAAAGTAGAAAGTGGCTGCATACAGACACCACATTTAAAGCACATTTAAAGTGCAACCCCCCCTTCAACCAAAAACAATAATCCTGGTAACAGTAGTTTACCTTCACAGAACTGCAATTCTCAGCACCTGTAATGATCTCCAGTTTCTAGGATTCTTTGTGTTGTTTGTGCTTTGCCTGTGCTACTAGAAGAGGTGGAAAAGGCCCCTTATCCAATGCACTGTGAGAATGGCATCAGACTTTGCGGCCCTGTCCTCAAAATGATCACTTGGTGTATTCAGTGCATGGAAGTGTGAAGCCAGCTGATTAACAAATGTGGACAAACTGGTTATAACTAGTGCTATTGTGGCAAAAAATTCTCCCCCTTTCCTCCCGTCCATTCTCCACCAGTTAATTAGTAAAGAAAGGGTGTTCAAAAATTATTGAAGGGGAAAGTACATCTCAAGTGTTTGCTTTGCACTCAACTTGTTTTGGAGGTGGTCAAGGGGTATTTGTGTCATTTATTTCATTCTATAAATAATCTCACTAGTGGCCTGCATTCTTGCTGGGCACCCACACTTCAGGGGAAGATAACTTGAGGTATCATGAGGACGTCCCCCCCCCCCAAGATCTGGAAGTGTGGACAGATCAGGAAGTACGAACCAGATTAGATGGAAGGAGAGATAAAAATTTGTTCATACCAGAGAACATCCTCTAAATATCTAGTAGGTCACTGTGTTCTGCAGGATAGTTTCTGCTTAAAGTTCCCACAAATATCAAATGCCCACTTCACAGTAGCTTGGTGTTCTGTACCATAGATACCATAGACCCAACAGTGGGGTAGTGGGAGTGGTTAGGATGCAGGTGGCGCTGTGGTCTAAACCACTGAGCCTCTTGGGCTTGCCGATCAGAAGGTTCAAATCCCTTGGACTTCCGGGGTGGCGCCATCGGCAATGGCGGACTCCCTCTGATCTGGAGGGACTAGCTCCACGCGAAATGGGTCTTTTCCGCTACGGCGAAGCGGGGACCCTTTCAAAAATCACAGGTGGATGAAGCCTGTGACCATGGGACTCGGCGGGCACCCTTAGCGCCCCCCAACCCGCAAAGGAACCCACTAACGGGCTCCGAAGCGAAGAGGGGGAAATTTCCAATAAATATCATTTAAAAAAAACAACAGAAGGTTCAAATCCCTGTGATGGGGTGAGTTCTGTGCCAGCTCCTGCTAACCTAGCAGTTCGAAAGCACACCAGTGCAAGTAGATAAGTAGGTACCACTGCAGCAGGAAACTAAACAGCATTTCCGTGCACTCTGGTTTCCGTCACGGTGTTCCGTTGTGCCAGAAGCGGTTTGGTTATGCTGGCCACGACCCAGAAAGCTGTCTGTGACAAATGCCGGCTCCCTTGGACTGAAAGTGAGATGAGCCCCACAACCCCATAGTCGCCTTAACCGTCCACAGGTCCTTTACCTTTTTTACCTACCAAAGAAGGATCACTCCACCAAAGAAGGATCCCAAAGACTGCAGAGGGATCAGCTCTAGTGCTCTCTTAAGAAAGGTCCAGCGTGCCAGGTCTCCTAGCCTTATCTTACAAAGACGCAGGATGGACACCGCAGCCACCAGATGGCTTGTCCCTATTCTTTATACACAAAGCATCATGCTGCCTAGGAGTTCCCATCGCTCAACCTGCCTTGATGAGGGCATAGGTAGAAAATACCCAAATCTTACTGATAGTTCCCTTTTCTGGGCTCACAGCCCAGCACCCCAAATCCAAAGATAAGGATAACCTCAAAGCAAGCCAATTGGTTTCTATCAGAGCAAGTGAATATAACCATATATGAGCTTATTGCTGCAACAACTACAAATTAATTGTATCTTGACTACGGAGATGGCATCAGGAAAGCTTCCAGAACAGTTCACCTTTGGTTCTGCACACTTGGAGCACTGTTTTCGAGTCTCCTGGTTTTGTAGAGAAGCACTCCTGCTGAGATATAACCAGGACATACTGTTCATAAACTACTGAAGTCATTTTGGTTTTGACAAATTTTCCCAACGGGATGAAAAGGTCCCTGCCTTTAGTGCTCATTCTGAATGTTTAAACCTATCTTCAGTAGTTTTGTATTGTTCTAAAAACTATTTTAACTGCTTTCGTGGTATGTCTGTAAATCACTTTGCGACATATGTAAAATATGGTTCCTAAATTAAATGAGCTCACTGGAAGGACAGATTGTGAAGCTGAGGCTCCAATACTTTGGCTGCCTCATGAGAAGAGAAGACTCCCTGGAAAAGACCCTGATGTTGGGAAAGATGGAGGGCACAAGGAGAAGGGGATGACAGAGGACGAGATGGTTGGATAGTGTTCTCGAAGCTACGGACATGAGTTTGACCAAACTGGGGGAGGCAGTGGAAGACAGGAGTGCCTGGTGTGCTCTGGTCCATGGGGTCACGAAGAGTCGGACATGACTAAACGACTAAACAACAACAACAAATTAAATGATGGTGACGATGTTAGACATTGTTTCCATTGTATTCTGGTCTGTTCCCCCTTTCCCTCTGCCACCATCACTGAGCCCTCAGGCCATCTGTAGCAGCTGCTGCTACCCAGGGAGCTATCGCTGCCATTTTATGGACGCCCTCCACAGAACCCCCCCCCCAAAAAAAATCCTGTATCTGGCATTGGGCATAAAGATTGTGCTGTGTGTTACACTCTTGACTAACTCCTTCTCCTTTAAAGTGACTGGACAGACCTTTGAAGGAGGCAATCTGCAATGTTATCTTTTCTACTCTTTGCAAAGAGAAAGTGAGGCGCACCAGGCAGATATTTCTGCAGACTGCTGTGGAGTTAGAGATGGCAATCACCAGCCCTAGAGGCGTTGTGATACTTCCTCCCCAACTGCCAAAGCATTTGCTAAGGGAGGGTGGGACTGTACTGCAAATTACAGTTGCCATTTTTAAGAAGATTAACATTGTCAATAATGGTCTCATGTTCTCTCCCCCAACCCAAAGGCTGCTAAAATTGAGGGGGCGGGGAGACTTTTCACTAGAGTGTTATTTGTTTATTTGCAAGACAAACTCAGCCTAAAATGCCTAGAGTGCTTGCAGATAGCTAATGCATTCTCTTCAGCCATTTAAACCTTCTTTGCAAAGACAGAGATGAAGTGCTAATGAGCTTTTTAAAAATCTTCATGGGAAAAGGGGGGGGGAGTGTTAAATCCTTGGTTATTCATTGCACTTCTTAAAATATTTCCAGGGTGTGAAGAACGTATAACTGTAAAAATGCTAATAAAAGATATGAAGAGAGGGAGGAAAATGCTGGCATAGTGGACTGCAATTGGGTGTAGGTGCCCAATTAACAATCAACTCTTGTTTCTTTAGTTCCTTTCCGTTTATGGAAGGCTTCACAATCCTTATTTGCTGATCCTCATGACAACTCTTTTGTGTGCTAAAAATTAGTGACTTGTCAGGTCTGCAATCCAATTTGCCTGGTCTGGATAGAAGGACCCACTTTGCAGAGGCCTTTGCGAGGGACTTTAGGGGACTCAGATGTCCCCTTTTAGCTTCAGCTAGATCTTTACCTTAACATGGGTAGGCAAACTAAGGCCCGGGGGCCAGATCCGGCCCAATCGCTTTCTAAATCCGGCCGGTGGATGGTCCAGGAATCAGCATGTTTTTACAGGAGTAGAATGTGTCCTTTAATTTAAAATGCACCTCTGGGTTATTTGTGGGGCCTGCCTGGTGTTTTTACATGAGTAGAATGTGTGCTTTTATTTAAAATGCATCTCTGGGTGAGTTGTGGGGCATAGGAATTCATTCATATTTTTCTTCAAATATAGTCCACCCCCCCAAGGTCTGAGAGACAGCGGACAGGCCCCCTGCTGAAAAAGTTTGCTGACCCCTGACCTTCCCCAAGCCTAACACTGTGTATCAGGGGTAGGGAACCTCTTCTGGACAGTGAGATGGAGCCTTCTCTCCACCCATGGAGGACCAAATTTGGCAGGTGAGCAGCAACCACCTGACCTCATAGTGACAGTGGGTGATGCTGAGCTCTGAAACCCTTGTTTGGACTTCAAAAAGAAGCAATGAGCTGCTTGAAAGCCTTTTTGCAAACAACCCCATGTAGCTCTTTAACATCTGCTTTGAAACAACCTGCTCTTTGAAATTCCAGTTTTCAGAGGTTCGAAGAACAGTACTAGGCAGTTTGAAAGCCTAGTACAACAGCCCCACTTTGAACCTCTGAAAACTGGAGGTTCAAAGAGCAAGATGGGACGGTTCGCAAAAGGGCTTTCAAATAATCCTGCACTGTACACTGGCTGTATGCAACCAAACTGGACATGAATGACCCCTCAGAGGGGTTCAGATAGGCTTATCATGGTACTTGTGTGCAGGTAGGGTAGATTATACCTCTTCATAAGATTTCTGGAAGTTTAGATAAAGTTTTGAATTCTTCGTAACAAATAAAAGCAAAAGAGTCAAGTGTTTGCATTATGCAAAGTTGCAGTGAAGCACATAACGAATTTAAACTGCATGGTGAAAATGCACCTATACTTTCTGCATGACTAGCACAGTATGTCTAGTATCTTTCTGCAAAACTGTTCTTGGTGATGAATCATCTGGTTAACGCAGACTCTCTCCATCCAGCATTTCAGAAGCTTGTTGTGCTCCAGTTGTGCAACCTGCACAATGAGTTTGCAGAAATTTTAATATATAGAATTTGCACTAGTCTGTCATCATACTGTTTTCATTGGCAGTTTCTCAAGGTTCCAAAGGCAGGGGCAAGGAAAGGTTGCTGTGAACCTGGAAAAAGAGACAAGACATGTACTTTTGTAAACCAAGAAAATCTTTAATAAAAATAAATTTAGGAAAAGAAAACAGCGTGATGATTTGGAGACTGCCCCACTCCATTTTGTGTGTGTGTGTGTGTGTGTGTGTGTGTGTGTGTGCTTTCCAAACCCCAACTTGAATAAGACAAATGATTTGTACTAACAATGTCTTCACAAGAGAAACAGGAATGTCTGTCATGTAAAATGTTATCAATTAGCCTCACACCACTTTTGAAAGATGTGCCTTTTTAATGGACAATTTGCAAATATTTATGCACAAGAAACTGCCTGAATTGCACCTAAATAATCCATAAGAATATGAAGTTTAAAAATATTATTTGAATTGTTAAATGTAACCTGGATATGTATCCAACAAGTGGTAGAAATGGGTAGAGAATTATGGGTAGAACGGCAACAGGTGTTTCTGGTCAAAGAAAGTTTCTAGTTTCTCAGCATGCATGGATGAAACTTCCTTTTTAAAACCACCTTTGCCACTATTTATAGCTACTTGTGTTGATGTTGGACTTTGGGTTTATATCACCTGTGGATTTTTAAAATGGGCTCAATGTTGAAAACCACCAAGAAGCTTTGGTAATTTACCATGCAATAAAGTTCAATTATTATAACACAGTGCATTCAAGATGATGATCATTGAGGTTATATATAATCACACAAGCAATATTTTTCTGAGAACTGATTATGAAGTCATTGATGAGCCATTTGAACCAGAGTTTTTTTGATTGTTTGTTTGTTTTGCTGTTTAAACTTAAGCAAGTTCCCTTTTTGCCATTCACTCTTCATTACAGTTGCAGTGAGGGACATGGGTGGCGCTGTGGTCTAAACCACTGAGCCTCTTGGGCTTGCTGATTGGAAGGTTGGTGATTTGAATCCCCGCAACAGAGCTCCAATTGCTCTGTCCCAGCTCCTGCCAACCTAGCAGTTCAAAAGTATACCAGTGCAAGTAGATAAATAGATACCGCTGCGGTGGGAAGGTCAACGGCGTTTCCATGTGCTTTGGTTTCTGTCACAGTGTTCTGTTGTGCCAGAAGCTACTGTTAGGTCCATCATGATACGTCTGCAAGCTCCCAACCACGGATACCAGCAGCCTTCAAGCAAGCAAACTTGCCTTATTATCTCTCCCTAGCATCCCACTGCCAGAGGATTGCCTCCTTCCATTCACCACTTTGCCTCCTCCAAGTGGAAGAAACCTGGGCAGTGCTGAATGTCAAATCTATTGCCAGGTGTGTCCTGCTGGAAATATAAAAGGGCTTTTCCCTTGGCCTGCCTTTATATCCACTCATCTGCCAAGTGCTTTTGTGACATCACAAGAAACCCACAGCCAATGGCAACAGCTGGGGAGGCATCATCTTCATTGCTTTGAGCCTCACAATGGTGGGTGGAGCTATCAGTGATTGTGTGCTTGTTTATTTGGGACACGGGTGGAGCTGTGGTCTAAACCACTGAGCCTCTTGGACTTGCCAATCAGAAGGTCGGCGGCTCAAATCCCCATGACGGGGTGAGCTCCCATTGCTCTGTCCTAGCTCCTGGCAACCTAGCAGTTCGAAAGCATGCCAGTGCAAGTAGATAAATAGGTACCACTGTTGTTGGAAGGTAAACGGAATTTCTGTGCACTCTGGTTTCCGTCACAGTGTCCCATTGTGCCAGAAGCGGTTTAGTCATGCTGGCCATATGACTCAGAAAGCTGTCTGTGGACAAACATTGGCCTCCACGGCCTGAAAGCGAGATAAGTGCTGCAACCCCAGAGTCGCCTTTGACTGGACTTAACCATCCAGGGGTCCTTTACCTTTTGCAGTTTCAGGGGCAGGATATTGCTTTGGTTTATTTCTACTTCATATTTTTCCCCTGACAGGGACTTAATGCAGCTTACAAATAAAATTAGAACAGTTAAAAATGTTGAAAATCATTTTTTTTAAATGGAATTAAAAATATATGTTGATAGATAGATTCTATTAAAAACATACTGTCACACTTATTGTCAAGTAAGTGTGTATAAGATTGCAGCCATAGTGACATCACTCTTTAATAGTCTGGGTGATCCATTACAGTCCAGTACAAAGCCAGGATTCCTTCACAGATACCTTTTGCTCCCCGTCAGGCCTCACTGTCTCTGAGTTGGATCTAATTTTGCTGTGCAGTAAATTCAGTGCTTCAGTTCAAGCATGTGGTCAGTGCACTAATGGCTAACTAGTGCAGTTCAGCATTTTGTAAATTTATGCCTTAGGATTCTATGTGACTAGGCCCTTGCATCATTGTGAAACCGCAGCAAAAATAAGGTGTGAGTTGATATCATATTATGCTGGCTTTGCAGTTACTAAACCTGAATAAAGTTAGATTCCACAGCCCTCTTTGTGTTTTCTAAGGGAAATGTGTGGGCATACCTTTTCAAGCTGGGCACCTTGCCAGAGGTGTGAGACACTGGCGAAAAACTCTCAACCTGGAGCCCTTGTGCCTATGAGCAGAGAAAGAGCTCAGTACACCCCTCCAAAGGAACTATGAAGAGGAGCCATCTCAAGCACCCATGACAGATGACCATCCAACCTCTGCTTAAAAACCTCCAAGGAAGGAGTCTACAACCTCCCAAGGGAGACTGTTCCACTGTCTTTTTTTAAAAAAATAATATTTATTGAATTTTAAAGGGTTACAAAAAGAAAAAATTAAAAAACAGCATATTAATGAAATACAAAACATCACATCACAATAATAAAAAAGAAAAAAGAAAAGAGAAGAAAAAAAAAGAAAAGAAAAGAAATACAATGAATCTTCCCATAACTTATCTTTCATTTGCTTATTTCCTTGACCTCCTCACACCTCCCTTTTTTGTATTCTAGTTCAATTAGCTATTTCAGCAAATCCTTTCCATCTTTTCCAGTTTTTGTCCTCTATTTTATCTTAATATAATGTAACTTTACTTTCCCTCCTTCACCATTTAAGAATCTAGTTTTTCTTAATCCTTTATAGCATTTCTGCTAAAACCACATTATTTCATTCCAACATCCTTCTAACATTCCTTAATTTTACAATGTTTCTGTAAATAAGCTTTAAATTTCTTCCAATCTTCTTCCACCAACTCTTCTCCCTGGTCTTGGATTCTGCCAGTCATTTCTGCCAGTTCCATGTAGTCCATCACCTTCATCTGCCATTCTTCCCGGGTGGGTAGATCTTGTGTCTTCCAATACTTCGCGATGAGTATTCTTGCTGCTGTTGTGGCATACATAAAAAAAGTTCTATCCTTTTTTGGCGAGACTGTTCCACTGTCAAACATCTCTTACCATCAGAAAGTTTTTCCTGATGCTTAGTCGGAATCTCTTTCCTTGTAACTTGAAGTTATTGGTTCGAGTTCTGCCCTCCAGAGCAGGAGAAAACAAGCTTTTCCCCTCTTCCATGTGACAGCCCTTGAGATATCTGAAGACAGCTATCTCCTCTCAGTCTCCTCACAAGTCCTGGTTTCCAGACCCTTGATCATCTTGGTTGCCCTCCTCTGCACATGTTCTGGCTCGTCAACATACTCCTTAAATTGTGGTGCCCCAAATTGGGCACAGCAAACAACTGTTTGCTGAATTGGTTTGCTGTTGCATCATTCACGTGCCATCGTGTTCTTTATTGCTGATGTTTATTGCTGTTGTGATTACCGTGCTGTAAAAGTGGAATGCAAATGCTAAATCAAATCAAGGGTGTGGCAGTTGTGGGCTGATGTTGACACAGCACCCCAGCCACCGTTTTGTTCTCATTCCTGTCCGCTCCGTCCCCAACCTTCCCATATTGAGTGGGAAAGACTGAAGAGGGCTTTCCAGAGCATATGGTTGAATGCTCTTATAAACCTCCCTGCAGTTGGGCAGCCAGTATCATGAGACTTCTCAGCGTGTTGGGGGCTGGGCCTCAGGGCTGGAGTGCCTGTTTTGCATTCAAAACTCCCCACGTTCAATTCCTGGCATTTCCAAGTAGGACCAGGAAAGATGGCTGCCTGAAACCCTGGAGAACCACTGCCAGGAAATGTATATATTCCTGAGACAGAGGGACTAGTGATCAATATAGGGCAGCTTCCTAGCTGGAAACTAGAACACAGTTTGAGTTGCTGACACCTTTGTCCCTGAGACCACCATTCTTAAGCAGAGTTTTATACCCTAAAGTGCACACATTATTTCTGCATTTATTGACTGCAGTACTCTAATAATTTCTAGGTTAACCTGAAAATGACCGTTGATGGGAAATTCATAATTTTGAGGTGGTTTGTCTATGGTTTCATTTGAAATGTTATCTGCCAAGGTACAGCTCTCGGCGGCCTCAGTCCATGCCTCTGTGCATCTTCTGGGTTTGCATATGGTCCTTGGTTGCCTTAGCAACCATTAGCTCCATGATTGACAGGCTAGCATTTCCAAGCACTCTTTATCTTCCTAATTTATTCCTTTGTATTCCATTCAATCACATTTGCAGTGATAACATTTGAAGAAATGTTTTCTTTTCTGTCATTAGCTGCATTCAATGTGTTTTGTGCACAGCGTTAACAGTTTAACATGAGATTTCTCCATCCAGTAACCCTGATGAAATCCAGTAACGAGAATGAATGCTGGTATTTGCTACTTGAATCAATTGTGTTGGCAGAGACAGAGAGGCTGAACTTTCATTAACTGCTGCCACTTCCTCATCCTGTGAGTAACATGATATCACAAAGTGTAGCAAATGTTCTTCCTCTCCTCAATTTGCTGAAGTTTCACAGATAAAACTGACAGGCACAATCCATTTTGGTACGGCTGCTAAATGTTTCCTTTCATGAAATGCTCTCCTTATAAATGCAGATGCCACTAAGAACTCTGTTGATGTGTAAAACATTTTTTGAAAAGCAGGCAAGAGTTTTATTGAATTGGATGTAATGACTAGGAAGCATTCTGTTAAGAATTTTCTGGCTTGCCTGGAAATATTTCACAGGCTATACAGGGGGGAGAAAGGAAGGAATGCACAATATCTATGATATCAAAGCTGACAAGAAAAAAAAATCTGCTTCTGTACCAGTTCTTCCCCCATCCCTACTTTTATTTCCCTTCTCACAAATTCTTATCTCATGCTTTTTGCCACCTCTTGTAGCAGATGTGTCTAGCACAGAGAGGATCAGCATGGTGCCCTCCCATCGTGCGGGTGGCACTGTGGTCTAAACCACTGAGCCTCTTGGGCTTGCTGATCAGAAGGTTGACAGTTCAAATCCCTGTGACGGGGTGAGCTCCCGTTGCTCTGTCCCAGCTCCTGCCAACCTAGCAGTTCGAAAGCACACCAGTGCAAGTAGATAAATAGGTACCACTGCGGTGGGAAGGTAAATAGTGTTTCTGTGTGCTCTGGTTTCCATCACAGTGTTCTGTTGCACCAGAAGTGGAATAGTCATGCTGGCCACATGACCTGGAAAGTTGTTTGTGGACCAACGCCAGCTCCCTCGGACTAAAAGCAAGATGAGTGCTGCAACCCCATAGTCAGCTTTGACTGAACCGTCCAGGGGTCCTTTACCTTTTTTACCTTTCTACCTCCCAATGTAGTGTGGTCTACAGCTAGGGGTAGTAAAACCTATCCATTTCAGTTTCTCTTCATTTCTCACTGTTCTAATCTTAAATTCAGTTCTCCACATTTTCATATTGGTTTGTGAATCATATAAATTCATGAAAATCATCAGCATTTCACTGAGAATTTTTTCTCCTATACTTACATTTATATGCAACTTTCTCTAATGTACAAATGTTGCAAAGCTATTTCTCCTAAAATAACACATTTGTCACTAACGTATGCATTTTCATTTTTCATTTCTATGTTGCTTTATATTTTTAAAGAAAATACCTCAAAATGATTTACAACACATTAAAACATCAAATAAAACAATCCAGAAAAAGCATTACTGAAGAAAGTCAAATATGGAGTATACACTCAAAGCAACATCATTAGCAGGAAACTCAAATATTATTTTAAATATTTCAAAATAAAACATTAGAAAGTAGATAAACTACAGAACACACATAGCACAGCTAACAAAAACCTTGAAGTTTTCAAAAGAAGACATTACTAAATGAAGTCAAATATAAAATGCACATTTGAAACAGAATAATAAGCAGGACACGGGTGGCGCTGTGGGTTAAACCACAGAGCCTAGGACTTGCCGATCAGAAGGTCAGCGGTTTGAATCCCCGCGATGGGGTGAGCTCCCATTGCCCGGTGCCTGCTCCTGCCAACCTAGCAGTTCGAAAGCATGTCAAAGTGCAAGTAGATAAATAGGTACCGCTCCGACGGGAAGGTAAACGGCGTTTCCGTGCGCTGCTGTGGTTCGCCAGAAGCAGCTTAGTCATGCTGGCCACATGACCCAGAAGCTTTACGCCGGCTCCCTCGGCCAATAAAGTGAGATAAGTGCTGCAACCCCAGAGTCGGCCACGACTGGACCTAATGGTCAGGGGTCCCTTTACCTTTAATGAAACATTATCAGAAGCATAGAACCTTGCTGCTGCTGCCGCCGCCACTGCTGCCGCCACCAATCCTGTCAATGGTGCTTCAATGACCTGGGCCTGCATTTCAATGGTCTCTGTACCCTAGCAAATACATTATTGCACACAGTTTATACATACACCGGAGGACTGCATTGCAACATTCAGACAGTGCAAATTTCAAAGGTTGGCTGTGTTACAGTTGGTTCCAGCTTGTTACTAACATACTTGGCAAGTAGCTTCTCTTACAGGCTATGGGCCTAGACCAGCCTAAAATCACCCAGCTTTTCTTCTTGCCTCCTGGAAAATGACCAGTGTGGATTTCTGGTAGCTTCCCCAGCTAACTCCAGATTGAGGATAAGGCTTGGCTATCACTTAAAGATCTTTTGCTGGCCTGCACTGCATCAGGATGTTAGCAAGGGAGAAGCCAGAGTCACAAACGTCAACCTTGGTGGCTCATTTAGAAGAGTGGGGAAGGAAAGCAGGATGCAGAATGGACTGCTAAGGTTTTGGGGGGAAATTAACATTTTATGCATCTTCTGCCATTTAACCCTAACCCCTGCACTCTCGATGACACCAACATAAATAGGAAGTGAAAGAAGCACGCTGAGAAGAAGAAAAGAGGCTGTGGATAAAATGGCAAAACAGGAAGGTCTCTGGGAGGGCAAAGAGCACAGCAAGCTCTGTACAGTTGTATCTCCCACAATGGCCCAATTAAAAAGAGGTTTGTTTGGCAATGCTATTTCCCTCATAGATCGTCCTTCTTCTTCTATATGATTGATAATTCAAGCCTTAATGATGCTTTCCCAACCAGTTTTATCTAGGATAGATGTTATCAGCCCTGAGTGCTCACTGGAAGGACAAATCGTGAAGCTGAGGCTCCAAGACTTTGGCCACTTCATGAGAAGAGAAGACTCCCTGGAAAAGACCCTGATGTTGGGAAAGATGAAGGGCACAAGGAAAAGGGGACGGCAGAGGATGAGATGGTTGGACAGTGTTCTTGAAGCTACCAGCATGAGTTTGACCAAACTGCGGGAGGCAGTGGAAGATAGGAGTGCCTGGCGTGCTCTGGTCCATGGGGTCACGAAGAGTCGGACACAACTAAACGACTAAACAACAACAACAAGATGCTAGACTGTCATACATCTTTTTTTCTTTTCTTTTTACAAATTTATTTGGTTTTTCAGATTAAAATTTTACAGTCACATGTGCAACATACAACATAAAAACAAGATGCCAAGGAATCTCCTGGACTTCCACCCTCCCCTTTGTGGGTCCTATTATCAATCATTTCCTCCCGCATCTTTTATGATACTCCAAATCCTTTACCTCTTCCATTGCGTCCAGAATTCAGCATTAAACTACAAGTGATATTCCGATCCTACTAATGATTTTTACAATGGTCTTTAAGATAAGTTATAAAATTTCCCCATTCCTTATTAAAATGTTGGTCTTCCTGATTTCTGACTCTTCCAGTCATTTTAGCCATTTTAGCATAGTCCATTAACTTCAACTGCCATTCTTCTCTGGTGGGGACTTTATCCTCTTTCCATCTCTGGGCCAGTAACAACCGTGCAGCCGTGGTCACATACATAGTCTTTTCTGCTCCTTTGGGATTTGGCACCTAGAATTCCTAAAAGGAAGGCTTCAGACTTTTTAACAAAGGTTGTTTTAAACATTTTTTTCAACTCATTATATTAGACTGGTATACATCTAGGTCTGTAACTAAGCTGGATTTCCACTGGCTCCTTCTGAAAAGTTTGGTATGTTACTGGCTACTTTCTAGCGAGAAGGCTGATTGCAGGGAACAAGGGGGAATTGCAGGGTCTCTGCGTGTGGCAGTCCTCTGGTGGCAGGGTGGGGGAGAAAGCAGAAATTGGGGAAGGGGCAGGCAGAACTGGGTGGAGGAATGAGGGGGGAAATGGGAGGGTCGGAAGAATTTAAGCGTGTGACGGAGACCATTCTAGGGCTCTGGCGACACAGCGGAAGAAAGCTGGAGAGCAGGAGAATTTGTGGTTTGGGGAAATAGCTGGAGGGAGTATTGGGAGGAATAAGGCAGATATGGGAGAGAGAGGACAATGTAAGTGTGGGAGGAGGGTTAAGATCCACCACAGAGAGATCGCGCACTCTAATGGGTTAATGTATCCAGGATCAGAAGGTTCTGTGGTCTCCCTGGATTGGAAGTTTACATTCATTTACTTTTCTGTTTGCTTCTGTTATAGGCCACTTCACCTATCAGGAATGGCATGACAACTCATCCGTCAAATGCAGAGGGTCGCTCTGGGGCTCTTGTTTCATGTCTGAATGACAGACACCCAAAGGAACATGGAAACTTTTCCCCAGGCTCAACCTGAATCGGAAGCATGCTTGTGAATTTCAGCTTCAAAATGTTTCCCGAAATCCAATTAAATAAAATGAGATGTTTTGATGCCAAGGGCCTGTCCTCTCAAGTCTAGTAGAGTCCAATGCCTTGTACATCTCTTTCTAACGACATCAATGTCCCCAGCATAATGAGACTTTAAAATTAAATATAAGGAAAATTGGGAATCTATTATAAATGGGGTAAAAATAGAAACCCATTCAACTAGGATAAATAGGCATATCCTCTTCATCTTCTTTTAAATCAACTCATCCATACTGGTGGTAGCTCAGCCAGATCAATCTGTCATGGCCAGTTTTGTTGCACAAGGACAAAACTGCACAAAAATGAAATACCTTATTATGGCTTTAACAGCTAATTGGCTCTCCATTTTCCCAATACAGGGAAGGCAGAAAGCCAAAAGGCTGTTTTCAGCTTTTAAATAAGCGTTTTAATGATTGTTCGCCCTTGGTGAAATTATCTTTGCAGACTGAATCTGATGGGCAGGAGGTCATCCTTGAACTGAATGACAAAGTGCTGAAAGCTGAAATTGGGGCATGAAAAATTAGCACTTCTATAAAGAGCCTCTTTGAGAAATGCACGCACAGACAAAATAGGACTCTAAGCTGCCGAGGTGTCACATGCAGCCATATTTATAACCATTCAAGAGCAGCTTTCACAGACCACTTTTGGCTCTATTTTTACAGAAAGGTCAATTGTCACCTGTTTAGAAGCATGAGGAAAAGCTGGCCAATTTTGCCTTGATGCTTAAAGTACCTTCTTGGGAACTGTGAAAAAGAACTGCCTGCAGTTCCTATGCAATTGAACAGTCCCATCCCCTAGCCTGATTGACAGACAGGAGAGCTAAAAGGAGCAGTCCTCTAAATGGAAACAGTGTGATAGGTAACTTCTAAATGCCAGAGGGATGGAGTCAATGCTTTTTGTTGGTGTGAGCAGTCAGCGTGCCTTAATATGTGCATTAAATTTGCAGCCAGATCCGTCCCCCACTTTTACTGAGCGCAGCAATGGGATGGTCATCTGCAAGGCAGGCTGTTTGAAAGGTTACTGAGGAAAAAGCCCTGGAAGGGTAAAAGGGTACTCATGGAAGGGTAAAAGTGATGTAATGAGACAAGGAATTGAACTGAAGGATCTTCTGCTCCCTTTACTCCCTATCACTTCTACAAACCAGACACCAGAGAGAATGCCCGTGACTTCTCATTAGCAGGCAGGCTCTTGAGAGGTGAAATGTCATATTCTGGGAGCCAGAAGTCACAGAACATTTTTTTTAAAAATAAAAATTAAAGAAATTTTAAAACACTTTCTAATGTTAAACTGAGACCACTGTTACAAACTTGAGGTTCATTCTTGTTCTGCAGTATCCGGATGCTACATGGAAATGATTTTGAGCTTTTTGATATGTGAGACTTAAATTCAGCTTTAAGCTCAGCTGTTACATTAATGTCTCATTGCTGCATTCCAGAAGTAACTACAGGGGAGAGGCACTAGTCATGTGAACGAGCTTTCTGGTTAACAACACGGGTTTCACATTCACATTGCAAATTGATCTGGTGCAGCAAGAAAACTACTTCAAACCTTATTTGTGACAATACTCCAATTCTACAGTTTCAAACACAGAAATGGATCCTTAGTGAGCAATCCTATTCACATTTACCTGAAAGTGAGCCCCAATGAACATAGGGGGACTTAATGAATAAATGCATAGCATGGTAATACACATTTCATGGGGGGAATGTTTTCAATGTTGTTCCTTACCTTCATCTCATTATCCTGGCCTCTCTTGTAATGTTATTTAAGTATAGCTCACTTTCTCAGAAAATCCCAACTTTTTGGGTTCAAAAGGGAACATTCTACGAGGCAGCTAGGTTGTGCCTTTGATACAGGCTTAGATGAATATTTTATCCTCAAGTCTATTCCTGGATCTATCTAAAACATCTGAAAATGATTGTGTCTATTGCAGCTTTGAAGCAGAGATGCTGAGCAATGCAGAGATGAACTTCATTTGTTGGGCATGTTGTTCACTGACTTTTTACCCCTGTGATAGATAGATAGATAGATAGATAGATGATAGATAGATAGATAGATAGATAGATAGATAGATAGATAGACTGGTCTTTTGGAGGGGGACCACTACCCCAACCCTAGAAATTAATAAATGGACAGATTTTGATTATTTAGGATATACAAGCTGCAGAGGAGTTCCTGGAGTAGCCTCCGCAAAAACGAACAGGCCAAGCTAGGGCCATTAAGAAATACAGGGCTATTGAGAGCCATTGGCAATGAAAGAGAACTGTCCTCTCCCCTTGCCTGGAAGTATGAACAGAGACTGGGGGTTTGAGAGGTTGCCAGGGCAACTGGGCATGATGCCACAGAGAGAGTTTGGGGCTGGCTGAAGGCAGGCAGAGAGAGATGCTTTGAATCCAGTGCTGCACTGCTGTGAGGTACAAGCCCCTCTTCAGATGGCTGTGCTGTCGAATCTGGATTCCCTCCATCTAAATGCAGGTGTAAATATGTGAATAAAACTTATTTCTTAAAGCTACGACAGCGTCCACTGCGTCTTCAATTCTCCAAAGCAGCCCAGACCCTGGCTGAGGGCCAAGACCTCTGGAACCCTGTGCGTGGCCTGGCAGCGATTGGGGTGGCCAGTAGCAATATTTTAGGACCCACTCTCTTTTCCTGTTTTTTAAGTTATAATTTTATTTTGCAAATTACGGTACGATAAACGACTATCTGATATAGCCTCTCCAAAACCCAGTGTGGGTAATGGGAGTTCATGTTAGGGATGGAAACCATGCAGTGTTAAATTGATGTGATGTTGTTGGGTTGTTGTTTTTTAGCATTATGCAATCTGCTCCGGGATGTTATGGGGAAGTGTCAGATAACATCATCACCACAGCTAAAATAAGGCAGACTCATTAATATCCTACACAAAGGGACGGGATTAAGCTTATGTGTCGGTGACCATGGGAAGGGTTGCGTGGGCTTAGATCAGTGCCTGCTCTGCTAACTGAGGCTGCCAGATCTTTATCATATGTCTTGCAAAAAGCTATCCAGTTAGTTACATTCTTAAGTAACTGTAACAAAAGCAGGATGCTAAAGTCCAGATCTCCCAGGCTGGGGGTGGCCAAATGCTGGAACTTGTTTTTAAGCAGGCTCAGGATTCAGATCATGCCATATCAAGTTTGAACCAGCTCTCTCTGTCTGCGTCTTATCCAAAGTCCCCCATGGCAGCCCACTGGTTAATAATTCTAAAGCTTTGAGTGTGACTACATGCCACTCACTGAAGTTGTATTTGTTAATGTAAGATTGCCTTCTTCTATGAGGAAATGTATAAGACTACTCTGGTTTTTCAGCTTTGCAGGCTGCTATTACAAAATAGTGTTTAATATGTACTGCAGAGAATGACTGAGAAGGCAGATCTGCTCTTCTTGAAACCACCCGTGAAATACAGTTGCAACCATCCCACTAATCCGAGTTCCTGCAATGCATTGTGCCATCTGCTGGGAAAAGGAAACAATCCAACACAGAAACTTCACTACCCTCTCTACAGGATCCAGAGAATACATTAAAATGCCAATGTCCAGCAATTATAACAGTTAAGAGTACATTTCCCACCTGGGAAATACTGAATACTTGCCTTATGCAGAACCCACACTGAAATATGTATCTATCACCTATCTCTGTATTTATTCAGATGATTTTGATACCGCCCTTTGCTCAAGCTGCAGGGTGGTTTACAGCAAGGAAATGGATTTTTTAAAAAATAAATACCGGTAAATCATGCAATCCCTTTGAAACACATAGGAAATCACTTAAAGATCAATTACAAACAGCAGCTGCAATCAACTGTCTCTACTCCAAAAAGCTGCTGAAAAATATGTTCCCTAATGAAAAGACAACAGTAGAGAGAGGGGACTTGGCAGGGAAGGAGTGCCATATATGAGGACACATCTCTGAAAAGGCTCTTGCCTACCCCCCTCTCCATCACATACCTTATACATGCCCAGAAAACAACTGCTACCCCATGCAGCTGCTTCAATATGCTTTTAACATGTTTTAATATGTTCATGGCCTGCTGCCCTTACCAGCATTCTTGCCACAGTATTTCGCAGTAGTGTCAGAGGAGTCAAATATACGGTTGCAAATAAAACGCTTTAAGTGTGTCGTAAAAGTGCATTATACACATGTGACACTAGATGGCGATGGTGAGCTATGGCAAATTCAATATGATTTTTTTCCCCAAAACTTTTTTTAAGAAAGCATTTTCACAACTTTTTTTTATATGTATGTATATTCCACCAGGGACTGGCAGAGCTCCAAGGAGTTTGTGGTAGAGGCGGGGGTGGGGGTGGGCATATATACTATACAGAATGTGCATAGATACACCATTAAAATACCCTGTTAGCCAAATTATACACACATATATATGCTAAAATACAAACTAAAACACATGAGTTTCTACAGTACTTTTTTCTGAGGGGAGGCAGGGGTACGCTTACCTCTAAACATTTTGTGAATTTTTGTATTTTTGTCCATTTACTGTATTTATTTTTCCCAATTTGAACTATAAAATGGTGATTTTCTTGAGTAAAAATGAGAGTACCCCTAAACATTATTATTATTATTTTTAAAAAAGCACAGCGTTTCTATATTTCATTGACAATTGGATCTTTACAGTCCACCATGTTATCCTTCTCAGTTTTGAGGCAGCAACCGCAAGTATTCTTAGTGATTAAATGTTTTTTTTTTACCTTCTACAAGACTGTTTGTGTGATTATTGTTTTAAGGGGGAGAAAAGAGGGAAATACCAAGAGAATCCAGTCTGCCTTAAAGCATCCTGGATTTTTTAAACTAAAAGGCTAAAACCAGCCTATCTAAGCTTACCTTTTAAGTTGCAAAGGGGTGGTACTCTGCCGAACTCACAAACGTGGAGGAGGAAGGAAGGATAATATCTAACAAATATATCCTCTCCTAGCATCTATTCACATCCCAACACTGTGCCCCTTAGGAGCTCCTGTAAGTACATGCTTTGTCAATACAGAATTAAAATACTGTTTGTTTGACCTCCTTCTGTGGGGTGTGCTCAGGACAACTAGTTGCACTTCCCAGAAAGTCTTCAATGTAAGATAAAGGAAAAGGACCCCTGAACAGTTCAGTCCAGTCAAAAGCGGCTATGGGGTTGCGGCACACATCTCGCTTTCAGGCTGAGGTAGCCGGCGTTTGTCCACAGACAGCTTTCTGAGTCATGTGGCCAGCACGACTAAACCGCTTCTGGTGCAACGGGACACCGTGATGGAAGCCAGAGCACATGGAAATGTCGTTTACCTTTCCGCAACAGTGGTACCTATTTATCTACTTGCATTGGCATGCTTTCAAACTGCTAGGTTGGCAGGAGCTGGGACAGAGCAATGGGACCTTCCAATCGGCAAGCCCAAGAGGCTCCATGGTTTAGACCACAGCGCCGCCCGCATCCCTTCAAGGACATCCACCATGTAGAGCACATTACAGCAATCCAGATTGGAGGTTACTAGAGCATGACTAAATCTGGCCAGGCTATCCCTACCACAATATGGCTGTAGTTGGCACACCAGCCAAAGCTGGACACAGGTGCTCATGTCCACAGAGGTCAACCTTGAGTGGCAAGGCTGATTCCAGAAGCACCCCACAAACTACACACTTGTTCCATTGAGGAAAATGCAACCCCATTGATTCTGCCAAGCCCCATACATGGAAATAACCCAGTCAGAGCACATCCAGCCTTTCTTGACTTCCAGTACTTCCTGGAAACAATGGAACAGAGAAATAGAGCAGAGTGTCATCTGCATACTGGTGTTGTTGTTGTTTAGTCGTTTAGTCATGTCTGACTCTTCGTGACCCCATGGACCAGAGCACGCCAGGCACTCCTGTCTTCCACTGCCTCCCACAGTTTGGTCAAACTCATGCTGGTAGCTTCGAGAACACTCTCCAACCATCTCGTCCTCTGCTGTCCCCTTCTCCTTGTGCCCTCCTCACTAAAACTCCACTCTTGGCAGCTTCATGGAGATGTTAAATAACATGGGCAGGCACACATTTTTGGTGAAACCATACTTGGAGAGAGGAGTGGAACTGCAGAAAAGCCAAATCCCAACACCTTCAGACAGCCCAAGAGGGTAACATGGTCAGTATTATCAAAAACCGTGGAGCACTCCCTTTCCCAACAAATGTGACTGACCAAACACTGTATTTCAGTCTCAAAATGTGGCCTGAAGGCAGATTGAAATGGGTCTATATAATCAGTTCTCATCCAGGCACACCTGGCACTGTCTCCACCTTTTCAAGTTGCATTTATATGCATTTGTGTACCCTTTTCTTGGCTGGGAACTTCACTGCAATATCAGGAGAACTTCACACTGGATAATTTTGAGCAGTGGTAGTTGCAGTAGAGAATCAAGAAGCCTTAAGAACCCAGGCAAGCAAATGCGATGTGCACAAGTTTATGAAAGCACCAAGCTGAAAGCACCCAGCAGAAACAGTGTGGTTGGTCAAGGGAGCCGTGGACTCAGAAAGGTTGAAAACCACTGCTATAAGGCACGACATTTTTATCCAGTGGTTTCCAATTTTCACATTGGCTAGAAATATAGTGTGATGTGCAGAAATACTAGTGCATTTGTACAGCAAAGCCACCATCAAACGTCAAACCTGATGCTACTTACAGTTTGCTAATTAAGAGGCCCAATTCAGAGCAATGCATGCAGGGGAAAAAGGAAGTTATGCGGCACTTTACTTACTGTAAATGAGGGTGGTGTCAATACAGTGCTCAGAAACCTGGCATGAATTACAAGTTGCCAGTGAAGAAGGAAGAGCTTTCCTTCTGAGCAATGCAAAAATATTTATTTTTGCATAAGCTAAGCAAAAATATGAGATGCCATCTTACTAGCTTTATCTCTGAAGATGGCAATGTCACACAAATCCTTTGGCTTATTATCAGCTCCCTCCTCTCTTGAAAAAATGTAGCCTTTATTTATTATTTGATCTCTATGCTTAGCTGCAGCAGTAGACCACCAGCTCCATCCTTATTCAAGAAATGTAAGAACTGCCGCAGGGACTTACACCCATGGCCAAGCTAACAGCATTCTGTTTCCTGACAATGGCAGCTACTACTGAGCATCTAGTAACACTGGATCTCACATTGCCCAATTAGTTTGAAGAGCTTCCTTGGGAGCACTTCAGAGTTTACTTTCAGCGCTATATATTGTTTTTTATTTTATTTTATTTATTTTTTACTTTATTTTATTTTATTTTATTTTATTTTATTTTATTTTATTTTATTTTATTTATTTTATTTTATTTTATTTTATTTTATTTTATTTTATTTTATTATTTTATTTTATTTTATTTTATTTTATTTTATTTTATTTTATTTTATTTTATTTTATTTTATTTTATTTTATTTTATAGTGGCCTGCATCCAAGGGCTTCACTGCAGTGGACATGATCTCATTGTCTTCACAACAAACCTGTGGCCAGCAGAGGACTCTTCCCTT